CATTCTGGGCAGCTGTTGCTGGCCAAGGAGGCCTGGGACAGCAGGATGCAATTGTGCCCTGTCTGTACCCCCACTGGAGCCCAGAAGTCTAGCGGTCTGGGTCAGGAGAGCGGGGATGTAGGCAAGGTGGTGGCAGGTGCAAAGAGCCCTTCCTGGGAAGCCAGGAGCACATGGAATGGCTGTTAACTGTGGGTGTCCTCAGTCAATCACGCCACTCACTGTTCCAGGCTTTGCTTTCCTCATTTGCCCTGGGGTAGGGGGAATGGCCACTGTCCTGCCCCCTTGACATCATTGGCAAGTGGAAGGCCAGGGAGGGAAAGGGTGGCTGATGGAGAGGCTGGTGGATGGGGAGCCCTGCCTGCCCCGGATTGCCACAGGGAGGACGCGGATCAGTGCAGACTGTCACTTGTGGGCACGGTGCTCACAGAGGTGGCTGCCTTCTCAGGTGCTGAGGGGAGCTGACCTGTGTTTGTGAATGTGGGGGTGTGAGAACGCGCAGATCCATGTGTGTAAATGGCTTGTGGATGGGCATACATGGGTGTGTCCCCCACACAGACACACTCATTGACGGGAAGCCCACAGTGGGCTGGGCACAGGGAGGTGGGAGAAGGGAAGGAAGACTGAGGTGAGCTCTTTGCTCAAGGAATTCATAGACTCGTGGTGGAAGGGGGGCCACCACCCGCCGCTAGTGGAAAGTGATTTAGGAACACAAAAGAGATCAAAGCCGATGTCTGGGGAGGCACAACAAATGCTGTGTGAGTGGAGAAGATGAGAGACACTAGGGAAGCCAACAGCAGGTGGGGGTGGGGCGGGGGGCCTGGCTGAGTGGAACAGCCCTGTCGGGTTGTTCTAGATGGCGGGATGGAGGGCCAGCGGCCGGGACTAGTGCTTGGAAGGTGGACAAAGCATTGCAGGTCTGGGAAGTGGAGAGTGAGGTGCCCAGGTGGGCAGTGGTGGGCAGGACGTGAGCAAAGAAGCGGTTCAGGGGCATTCTGGCAGTATCCCACAGGGAGGGGCAACTGTACGAGGTACAAATGAAAGCTGCCTGGGAGGGAAGATGTCCCCCTCAGAGGAGAGTTCACTTGGAATCAGAGGGAGAAGGCCCAGCATATCACAGGCGTGAGATAATGCCGCCCGCAAATCTGGAAGGGCAAAGTGTGGCCTTTGGGACAAGCGTCGCACAGCTGCCCTGTGATGTCAGGCCAGCCAGCCCTTGTCAGAGGCACCACTTAAGGCTGTTTAGGTTTCAGGGGTCTCCCTGCTCCTCCTGCACTGGGGACCAGTTATGCTTGTACTGTCTGAATATCTCCCTGACTCAGCGAACACCACCTATCCACAGAGCTACACCAGGGTGACTTCAGGGTGTAGCTCTGTGGATAGGTGGTGCATGACAGCAGGGACACCATCACATGGTGACTTCTCACAGCACTTCTCTTGCACGCACTAGGCATCTGGCATTGGCTGAGTGAATGCAGAGGGCATTACTGAGTCATGCCAAGCATGGTTCAGAAAGTGGCCAGAGAGGAAGGAGGTGTGCAAAGGTAGGAGGAGGGGGTGGCAGCACAGGGTTTCATCAGCTAGAAGCGGGTAGCTCTCAGCCCCTCCAGGGCTCTTGCTGTGTTCCTGACCTCCTGGTATCTGATGGAAGACCTCTACCAGGAAATGTCGGGGCTGGACAGGAGAGTCGAGACTCATCAGCCGGTCCCTGCATTTATCAGGCAGAACAGGGAGGTGAGGAGAGCTGGGGAATCTGGGAGCAAATCAATTTCAGGTCATTCAATTGCAGATCAGCTAGTCCAACCCCTTATCTTGATGAGGTCAACATCGAGGCCCAGGGATGGGAGGTCACTCGGCCAAGGTCACACAGTCAGAGTTGGGACATCAAGATCTCCTCCTTTGCTGACCACATGTACATAGTCCTGGGGAATCCTGGGGAGAATTCTGAACAACACGTATCATCCCCGCACCTCTCTACATAGTCATGGCCGGCTCTATTAGAATCATCTCAAAGCCCGTTCTCCACCCTAAGCCTGTCATTCACCCACAAGATCCAGAGAGGGAAGAGGCCTGAACAGGATGGGGTTCGGTAGCCCGTCTGCCGTAGATGCTCCTCTACCTGGCTTCTGTAGGGTGACTTTTCCCCTCGAGTCTCTAGAAGCTGTTCCTGCCTGTTCACGCAGGGGACACAAGCAGCTGGTTAAACCACACTGCTTCCCCCAACTCCTGACACCCCACTTCCTCCACGGACTCTCTCCCATGGAGAGAAATCTAGATCAAGGCAAGTCCTGGGGCCTGTGTTCATTGGCAGGGCCCCAAGCTCTGGCCTCCCGAGCACCAGTCCAGCCCTGGGCTCCATGAGTCCCCAGGCACCGTCCAGGTGCTTCAGAGAGCACCAAGCCCTCAGCATTTCAATGTTGTGCAAGGACCTGGGGTTTCTGCTTTTGTGATTGCCCCGGGTTCATCCACACCTCACTGCCTCGTGTCTCGACTCCTCTGGCGGTATCCTGTCCTCTCCAGGTTCATCATCTCCAAAGAGTGACTTCTGAGTGTTGCAGATTATTCTGGTGAATAATCTCTAATGGCTTCCCAGACTCAACCCAAAAAAGTCACTCCTCTGCCGGACTTTCGAGAACCTTCTTTTTCCCCTGCCTTCCCCTCCATTTTCTCACTTAAAAAATAATCTGCATCTGTGGTTTCTCCAGCCCAGAGCTCCCTCTTCCTTCACTCAAGGATTCAGATCTCCTCCTTCTCTAGGGCCCAGCCCTGCTCCAACCTCCTCTCTGTGGCCTCAGGGCTGTAGAAATTTGTAGATCACTTGGAGCCAACCCCTCATTTTCTAGATGAGGAAACCGAGGCCCAGCGAGGTTCATTGATTGACCTCAAAGAGAAATCACTAGCTAGAGAGAGGAGAGTCCAGATTACCTCACTCTATAATAAAACCCCTTTGTACCCTCTCTGGCTGGAGAGGGTACAGTGTTCTGGAGGGAAGAAGATGATAGGAAGGGAAGAGCTCTGTCCCTGCGTCCACAGATCTCCAACTATCTTTACAGTAAGAATCACACAATTAAGTGTTTAATTATAACCTGCTCTGCATTGTTGTTTAATTGTTTCCAAAGTAGACTGTAAGCCGCTTGAGGGCAGGGAAAATTCCTGGTGCCCTTAACTGTGTCTTCTCTGAAGTTCCCAGCACAGCAATGGGCACATGGAAGGCATCACATGGCAGGATTGGAAGCGTGGCTGGGGCTTTCTTCTGGGAGGGCCATTTTCAACTCCATCCAGATGCAAGTCCAGTGCCTAAGTTCCCCATGGACGAACGGTGGGTCAAGGCATGGGGTGGAGAAGTACACAAGACTCAACAACAGGTTTCAGGCCCAAAGCATGCCTTTCCATCATCAACATCCTGGGAGGGTGGGTCAGGCTTTGGCCGGTCCCTCAGGCCACTGTGTTTTCTGGAGGACAGGCTGCAGTCAAGCCTCAGGATCCCCGGTGTGCAGAGCAGGGAGGCGTCTTTGTGCCTGCAGTTCTCTTCTACCCTTTCTGTCCCTTCTCATGGCATCTCCTGATGCTCTGTCCTTCCCTCCATCCTGTCTTCAGAAAGCTCTTGCCCCGAGAGAGGCTCTGGCCCTAGGCATAGGCATGGCGCCCCCAGAGTCTCATGGTGGGGCTCAGAGGCATTGCCTTATTTTATGAGAACCCCATGGGTGGGGGAATGTCACAGGCTGAGGTCCTGACATCTTCGGTGAGACGGGTACCCAGGGTGCTAGAGACGTTTTTTGCTTGGTCTGGGCAAGATACGTATTTTGTTTCCTTCTTTCTGCATCTAAACTTAAAAGTGTGTCTTTGGCAAAGCCGTTTAAACAGATTTGCAGATTGGCAAGGCACTGAGGGCACCTGGGGAAGGTTCACCTGTGGAAAGTTTGCACCAACTCCCCTCCCAGGGTGATCTGGAGCCCTCTGTGATTGGTGGGCCGTGCTTGGCACATCTGAAGGGCCCCGTCGCTCGACCTGTGCCTTTCTGAGCTCCGTGTTCCTCTCCTCTGGGGCCTCGGGCATCGTGGTTGTAGCAATACCTGTGCTGGCTTCCCAGTGGGTGGATGTTTGGCCAAGGTCACTGGGTGAGAGGAAACGGCTGACGATACCTACCCTCCCACTCGCCTTCCCGCCAGCCCGGGGGATGTGTTCCTTGCACTCTCAGATGGCATTTGTGCAGCCTCTATTGTCTCCCTTTCCCTAACACTGGGGAGGTGATATAGTGCACAGGGGTGGCTTTATCTCCCGTTTGCTGGAAGAGAAGTCTAAGGCTCAGATGGCGGGTGGGGGAGTCGGGGGCATGGCTCACATGGGTTCAGGTGAGTCAGTGTGCATGTTGCAGGGGCCAAGTAGCCACGGCTCCTGCTCCCTGGCGCTCGTGGTGGGAGGACCCAGGCCAAGTAGGCGGGGTTCGCCATTACGAGGCTACAGGAGTTGGTCTGCTCCAGAGGCCAAGGAGGGCTGCTCGGAGAAGCTAGCGGAGGTGGGATCGTGGGGGACATCTGCACCCCATCACTGAGATGGCATAGCCGACCTAATAATTAGCAACCCGTGAGGATAGACCGGCAGGGTGGCATTCCAGGGCCCTCTTGCCCAGATCAGACTCAATTACAGAGTACAATGACTTGCCAAAGTTCTGGGGCAGCTGCCTGTACATGCCATCCAAAGTTTCAGGGTACTCTTCTCCCTGGCTCCAGTCATCACCTTTGAGACTCTGCCTCACATACCAACCCACCCAGCTAGAGCCTCCACGTTGGTCTGCGGGACTTACTTCTCAAGAGAGACCATATCTGATGCCAGCATTTTTAGGGCACTCATTCCAATTGGCTCCCAAGAAACACTAGCCTTTGACCCCGGTTCCCAAGGCTCATGAATGGGGGTCAAGGTCCCAATTTCCCCATAAATGCATGAAGCATCAGTTCCACCCCAGAATTCACCCTGGTGGTGGTTGGAGGATGAGAAGGTCTTACCTCTAGTTTTGTTTTCCTTGGGAAGGAGAGAGATGACTTTTCCTTCCTGAAGGTAGACGAAGAACTGGTAGCGATGGAAGCCGCTGTGTGCTGGTGGGGAGGGAGGCTGGTAGGCTACAGGCAGAAGAAGGAGAGAGGTGGGCGTCACATTCCACAATACCCAGCGCAGAGCTCTCTGCCTTCCCACGGTCCTACTGACCTCCCTGGGGTCCCAGATCAAGGCTCACCTGTGCGAACCGTCAGGATTTGTATTTGATGGGATCTCACCTTCAGTGTCTTCATTGAAGAAGTACATGTATTGGTGAGGGTGACAGTGGGGAGAAGGTGGTCCGAGAGGAAACACCCTGAGCTGGCTTGAAGGCCTTGGGTGCTGGCGTGGCTCCCAGGCCTTTATGGGCTAGTGGGTGCTGGCATTGTCCTGTTTTTGCTTTAGTCTATCCTGATGGACTTCCTGCCGCAAGAGAAGCCCATCTTCCTCTGTGAGTGTGTTTGGCAGAGGATTTTTATTTATTTTTTCGGCATTTCCTTATGAACTCAATCCCCAAAGAAGCCAATTTCTTGGCTGCGTCTGGAGGATCTGGAAATGGTTATGAGGGTGGGTGGGACTGGGTTCAAAGGTTTGATCATGGGAGCTGTAGGAGCTGGGCGCTTGCAGCACCGGGGAGAAGGCCCCTCTCCCACTCCTTCCCTCTCCCTGCAGGAGGCTGGGCTTTTTTTATGGGGGAAACGTTGGGTGGCGACATCCTTCATTCTTGCCCTAAGTGTATGCAAGGAGTCAAGGTCCTGCTGGCCTGGCCTGGGTCTTTCAAGATGGGCCTCTTTCCCAGAGTACTTCACCCCTTCCCACTCCCCTTCCCTCTCTCCAGCTTCCTTTCCAAGGAGGAGAGCCAGGCTAGAGCCAAGAGTCCTCCTGGGTGGGTGGGAAAGAAGCATTTGCCATGAGGATGTTGGTGGGAGGGAGTATTGGTCCTTTATGACCACCTCCTCTTCTTTCCCCTCCTGATCATTAAACAAAAGCATGACTTGCTGCTTGGAGCCACTGGAAGAGTCTCTCACTGTGCACTTCCGGCCACTGGTGGCCTCCAGCATGCCAACAGCTGGGGAATTCCTGACTATTCATCTTTCCCTGCATTTTTGGATCACAGATCAGATGTGTGTGTGTGTGTGTGTGTGTGTGTGTGTGTGTGTGTGTGTGTGTAGCATGCACATGCTCAGAATGAGAGCACAGCTGGGTGTACTGAGATCCATGAGTGTGTGTGTTTGGAGGTCTCCACTCGGGGCGGGTGTGCACACATGAAGAGCCAGTCCTGTGAGTGTGTGTGTAAAAGCAGGTCGACCAGCATTTCTTCCTAAACACCGACAGTGCTGAGAAAGACTTCTGAGCACAGTGGGTGCCAGGGAGTCTCTTCGTGTGTGTGGGTATGGGGGGCAGATGGGACAAGTCAGTGTGGGTGAGGTGGGTGGGCATGTGGGCTGTGGCATGCACTCCACGATGGGCACACTCCACACTGCCCAAAACTGGTGACCTCGGTTCTGTGCGGACAAGTCTGAAGTGAGAACTCACTGGTTCTGTGCAATGGGGAATTTATCGTCAAGAGAGACAGAGACTAATGCTTCTCACTAGGGCTTTCCTGGAGAATCCCCTCTTCAGAACCTCCAAAGGCGGAGGATTGAGGTGTGGAGAGGAGGGGAAGTGGTTCACACATGCTAGGCCACTTCTCTGGGCCAGGCCCTGGGCCGCAGGCCTTCACTTATGACATCTCCTCCACTTTCCCATTTCCTGGAGGCTCTGAGAGGTGAAGCCAGGCCAACAGTGAGTGGTGGTGCTGGGATCTGAATCCAGGCCTGCTTGGTGCCCAAGCCCAAGCTGCTTCTTGGAACTGGAAGGTGAGGTCTGGTGCCCAGTCCTGTGCCAGAGGCTGGCTCACTACCTGAGTATCCCTTTCAAGGTAGGTTGGCGGCATCCTCCTGGGGCAGGGACCTGAGAGAGGGGAGCTGGAGGGGTGATGGGGGTGGACAGGGATTACAAGCAGCCTCCAGTCAGATGGCCCCTGCACTGTGACGCTGGCTGCATTCCTTACTAGCCATGCACATGGCACAGGATGGTCTGTGCCTCAGTATTATCTTCTTTAAAATGGGGACACTGATGGCAGTGACCATAAAAGGCAGTTGTGGAAATGAAATCAGGGCATCCAGGAAAACTCTCAGGCTGGCGCTAGCATACAACAGAGCAGTGCCATGAGGTTTTCGTTTCTCTGATTGTCACTAATGCCCTGGGTGGGGGAAGGTGTCCCTAGGGTCTTACTCACCTGATAACTCCTGGCCCTGAATCTTCCCTTTCTTCAGGTCAGCACCCTGAAAGAAGAGACAGACAGGGCTGTGGGTTATGCCTGGGGTGCACTTCAGGCCACGTGGGCTCTGCGGGGTTCCTTCTCTCTCTGAGGAAGGAGGATGGGAGAGGAGGAGGATGTATGGCTGCTTTTGGGAGACAGGGCAGTGAGTGGGGTTTTGGAGTGGGTATCTCAGGGGATCCAGGGAGAAAGGACAGACGTAGGTGTTGCTGAGGTGGCCTGGAGGCAGATGGACACTTTCCCTCTAGAGAGACCCTGTAGGACACTTCCCAAAGTGCTGTCACACAATCCCCTTGGTGCCTGAGACTGGGCACTGGACATCACCTGCAGGTTCTGGTCAGATCTAAGGGAGGCGCTTCCATCTATGGTTCTCTGGATCTTGCTGAGGAGCCCATCCTCTCTGGAGGGAGGATCCTACTCCCTTTGGAGCCTTTAGAATATCAGGCAATGGACTCTGAGCAACCAGTGGGGGAAGGGAAGGCAGGAGGAGGCTACACTGCCTGACGCTGTGGCAGAGCTTCAGTTAACTCAGCCCACAACCCTGGGGCAGTTTCTTTGGTCACTGGGACAGCCTCAGTTTCCCTCCTCTCTTTCCCTCCCTCCTCCCCTCCGCTCAGTGTTTGTGGGATAATGAGGTGACCCTGAGGGTGGGTGCTAATTACTGTTTGTGCAGGACTGGGAGATGCTCAGATGAAAGAGACTGGAGCTGGGTCCCTGGGTCTGTGCCATGGCTCAGGACCCCCAGGCCATGCCAGGGAGCCCTGCGGCCCCTAGGTGTGGGGTTTTATAGCCTTAATGAAGGTGATTATCGTGGCTCTTAATTGAGTCTGCCAACACCTAACTGTGCCCTGGCTACCTTTTCACCAAGCCTAGAAGAGGGGCCCATGGGATGCTGGGAGGATGCGGAGAGGCGGGAGGCCCTGTTGACGTGGGGGCAGGTGAGATCCAACCCCCTAGCTTGACGTTTACCTTTTATAGAACTAAAGTCCCACTCGCCCAGCCCAGAACCCACTAGATCTCCTTCCCTTCGGACTGCAGCTTGTCTGTTACTGTACACACTTGGGACCTCTTGGTCAGATATCCCTCTCCCAAGGCTGGTTCCTATAGACCTAGGTCCCATTTAGATGGAAGAAGGGGCAGGACACTGTGGAAGGATAGACCTTTCCCCCACAAGCCCCTTGCTCTTTTTCTTCTTCACCTGAGGCAGGTGAAATAGATAGATTCCTCCCTCCTTCCCTCTGTTCCTCCCTCCCTCTCTCCTTCCCTCCCTCTTTCCCTCCCTCCTTCCCTTCTTCCTTACCTCCCTCCCTCCCTCCCTCCCTCCCTCCCTCCCTCCCTCCCTTCCTTCCTTCTCCTCCTCCTCCTCCTCCTCCTCCTCCTCCTCCTCCTCCTCCTTCTTCTCCTCCTTCTCTCTCTCTCTCTCTTTCTCTCTTTCATTTTTGGATTCTTGCTCTGTCACCCAGGCTGGAGTACAGTGGCATGATCTCAGCTCACTGCAACCTCCACCTCCCGGGTTCAAGCAATTCTCCTACCTCAGCCTCCTTAGTAGCTGGTATTATAGGCGCCCACCACCACATCTGGCTAATTTTTGTATTTTTAGTAGAGATGGGATTTCATCATGTTGGTCAGACTGGTCTTGAACTCCTGACCTCAGGTGATGAACCCGCCTCAGTCTCCCAAAGTGCTGGGATTACAGGCATGAGCCCCCGTGCCTCGCTGCAATCTCTTTCCTTTAACCTCCTCCCACTCTCCCTCATCCTGTTGTTTTCTGCTCAGGAGAATCTGGGTAGCTTTCCATGTCAGTCCCACCCATACGGTGGTGTTCACTCCAGCTCTGCCTCACTCCCCATTCAGCACAGTCCCGACTCCCCACATTTTCGGCCTGGCATTATCCAGGGCTGGCATTATCTATGCCCCGGTGTGACCAAGGTCTGTGGCCCGAGACAAGGATAAGGGGGTTGAGAATGGAAGCCCATCTTGACACCCATCTGTTCCAGGAGAGGAGGGAAGGCCTTCACAGATGCCTAGCAGCCACTGTCCCTACAGAGGTCTTCTGCCACCCTAGCAAGATGGAGAGGTCTGGGACTGAGCTCAGGAAAGCCCCGCCCAGCCCAGTCTGCCCTGAGCTCCTCAGCCTTCCCTTACTCCTTTCCAAATCAGTCCAGCCAGCGGCTTGTTAAAACAAAACAATAGCAACCTAAGCTGGCTGTTTTTTTTCAATTTTCCCTAGGCTTGTATCCCACCCAGAGTGAGGCCGGGAAGTGGGTAAGGGTGGGCGCCAGGGCTCCTCAGGTTGGAGAGCTGGTTTGTGTGGAGCTGGAGTGGGCAGAAAGGCTGGTCTGGAGCCCTGATGCATTGGGAAGGCTCTCTATCCCCGCCCTTTCACCCTAGGGAGCTTTTCTTATCAGTCAGGACCAGCGTAGGCAAAGACTCTGCAAATCCTGACATTGGGTTCGCGCAGGCAAGCCACCCACCCTTCCTAGCCACCCAGCAGACCCTGTGCTTGACTGAGGCACTGATGGCAAATGGACTGTTCAGTCCCGCCCTGGAGCTAATCCCATGGATGGGCACTGGTTCTCACCGGCAGAAAGGACAGGGGAGGACTCGATGGCAGAGGGGCCCCCACATGGCATGGGGTCAGCAGCTGTGATTTGCTCAGATTGTCTTGAGAATCGCCTAAGCTCCCTTTGGCCATAAACCTTCCTTCATTGGTCAATCCTGGAGGGGCTACAATTTCTACCGTAGAATCAACACCTGTTAGGGGGCTTAGAAAACTAAATTCTGAAAAGTAAGAAAGTTGGGCTCCAGAGAGGGAAAATCCAAAACATTCAAAGGGCTTAGACCCCAAGTCCTTCGAGATTAGCTGACTCAAGTTCTCATGACTTTTGACCTCAGCGCTGTCTTGTGCTCTCTCTGTGACATCGTGACAATTCCATCATTTCTATGGGAGGCATAATTTTCCAAAGACCCTTATTAAAATACAGAGATATTCTGGAGGGCTGGGGCTGCGGTGAAAATGGGGACCTCCCACCTGATGGCCAACTGCAACGGCTCACACCTGTAATCTCAGCACTTTGGGAGGCTGAGGTGGGTGGATCGCTTGAGCCAAGGAGTTGAGACCAGCCTAGGCAACATTGCAAAATCTCATCTCTCTACAAAAAAATGCAAAAATTAGCTGGGCATGATGGCCCATGCCTGTGGTCTCAGCTACTTAGAGGACTGAGCTGGGAGGATCATCCGAGCCCAGGGAGCTGATCCTGAGCCATGACGGTGCCGCTGCACTCCAGCCTGGATGACAGAGTGAGACCCTGTCTCAAGACACATGCATGGATTAGAATGTCACTTCTAGTCTGTGATCACCCTAGAAAGCTGAAACTCTCCAGGGACGGTTGAGATTTAAGGAAGTTTCAGGAGGTAAGAGGGAGAATTCTGTAGTTTTGACCACTGCTCAGGGCTGCTGGTCTGAGAAGAGATGGACTTTGGAAGGAGCCCTGGAAGGAGGTTGAAAGTTGAGCTTTCTCACCTTTTAGAATTTAGTTTCTGAAGGCCCCCACCAGGTGTTGATTCTATGGTAGAAATTTTAGCTCCTCTAGGACTGACCAGTGAGGGGAGGTTTATGGCCAAACCCGCAGGGTCTGCTAAGAGCTCCCCCACACCGTGGGGGGAAGTCCTCACTGAGACCTTGCTGCCTCTCCCAGCCCGGACTCCAGATGTGCTCTTGCCTCTTTAAGATGGGCTGAGCACAGAGACCACATCTCCTTTCCCTTCCTATAGCTAAGACGGGCTGACATTTTCAAAAGGAACGTGTTTAAATGCTAAGGTTAAAAAAAATAAAATATAGTTGACTCTTGAACAACATGGTTTGATTTGTGTCCACCTGTAAACAGATTTTTTTCAACAAAAGTTACACTGAGTGTGCCTGCCTCTCCCACTTCCCCTTCCACCTCCTACACCTCTGCTGCCTCTGCTACCCAAGACAGCAAGACCAACCCCTCCTCTTCTTCCTCCTCCTCAGCCCACTCAACGTGAAGACGATGAGGATGAATATCTTCATGAGGATCCACTTCCATTTCATGAATAGGAAATATATTTTCTCTTCCTTAGGATTTTCTTAATGGCATTTTCTTTTCTCTAGCTTACTTCATTGTAAGAGTACAGTGTAGAATACATGCAACATATAAAACATGTTAATTGATTGTTTACGTTATTGGCTTCCAGTCAACAGTAGGCTATTAGTAGTTAAATTTGGGGGGAGTCCAAAGTTATACTCAGATTTTTGACTTTGTTGGGGGTGGCACCCATACCCCCTCATTGTTTAAGGGTGAACTGTAATTATAGAAATTACAGACAACAGACATGTAGTTCAGTTTCGAATCCTCCAGAACGCTCAAAAGCCCAGGGTGGGTTTCTCAGGAGAGCAGGCCAGGAACACCGAGGTATTTGTAGGATGCGTTGGAGGACATTCTGGGCCCTTCTAATCATCTGGGACTGGAGGGCCCGAGAAAGGCAATTGTTCTTCATCAGCATCCTCTGCAGTTGGGGAGTCTGAGATACCCATGACTTCCCTAGTGAGGGAAGGGAGGAGGAGGTGAGTTCCTTAGAAGGAGCCTCAAATGCTCAGGGTCTGAGAAGAATAGTAGTCATCGCATGTTCTCACTTTGGACAATGAGAACACATGGACACAGGGAGAGGAACGAGACACGCACTGGGGTGGGTCGGGGATGGGAGCGGGAGGGAGAGCATCAGGATAGATAGCTAATGCATGTGGGGCTTAATATCTAGGTGATGGGTTGATAGGTACAGCAAACCACCATGGCACGCATTTACGTATGCAACAAACCTGCACTTCCTGCACACGGACCCCAGAACTTAAGTAAAATTTTAAAAAAAGAAAGAAAGAAAAAAAGACTAGTAGTCACTCCTTTTTCCTAGAAGCTGTCCACAGTTGTGTGTATATGCACATGTGTGTGCATATGCGTGTGTATATGTGCACGTGTGTGAGTG